CCGGGGCATTTATGTGATCTTTCAGTGGGCAAAGTTGTCTAACACAGTTCCTGTTTTATAATCCAGGGCTAAGTATCATATCTACAAAGATGAATGTCTTACAGGCATAATGAGATATGAAAACAACATATCCTCAAATGCTAGCAACAAAGTATGGAATAGTGTAGGTTGTTTTCTCTCATGATTGCATAGCTGATTGGAAAGCACAGCCATGGAAAAGCTGAAAATTCAAGATCTGGAATTTCTGCTGACTGCATATTGGTTTTTGGATCATAATGAGGTAGAAAAGTTAGAGGATCATCTATCTTTTCTGACTAATTCCACCAACATGAAATTCAAGAATAGAATTTTATTTAAAAGAGCAGATTTATGGTGACATTTCAGAGTAGTGGCTATTTTGGGGACAGTGAAAGGACTATCATAGGGAAGACTAGGAGGCTGAAGATTCTCTTCAGAGGTGAAGCATGACCTCTTTCCCCAGAGTCTGTGGGAAACACTCAGGACATGCCAGTTAAAGAAAGTTCAAGGCAGAGAGCTATGAATCTGAAGGGAATACTCTGCTTTTCTGAATCATTTGTAGAAACAGAGACTAGTGATGAGCATAGGAAGTGAAGAAAGTTTCTGAGGCAGCTGCAGAGGGAAGGGCTCAGGCTGACCAGCAGCCCAGGATGCCCTGAGTGGAAGCTGAACACTTCCAGATGAAGTACTTTCTGTTACTCCCAACCAAAGAGGGTTGTTGAAGTGTTCCCAACTTGTTGGCAGCTGAAGGAGGGGTGGGATGAGGGCTGGCATGTGAAAGGCCCAAGGTTCAAATTCTACCACAGAAACAAAAGTAGGAGGTTAAATTTGGGGGGGTGTTAAGAAATGAAATCTGGCATATAACCTAACTGAAGACAGTATGTTTAAGTCAATGCTATCATTTATGATCAGTCAAGTCGAATACTGTGTGGACAGCTGTGGATAGGTTGCTTATACATCGTGGTGCTTGCGGATGCCACTAAAACCCAAATCATTTGCTGCCATGATTTAAATTAGAAATGTCCCCACAAAGTCTAGTCAGTTTAAAGCTCTGTCCCCAAGGCGATGCTCAGAGATGGACTTTGGGGAAGTGACTGAATCATGATGTGACCTCATCAGCGCGTGCACTTATTGCTGAGCTTCGAATGTGACAGGCTACTATGGAGTAATGAAAACCCATGAGATAGGTTCTAGTTGAAGGTGTGCCTTTCGGGGAGGAAAACTTCCCTTTGGCCCCTTCTCTTTCTCTGTCACCATAGTGAGTTGCTTTGCTCCCCCAACCTTTCCATATTGATATCTCTTGTCCCAGCACAAGCCTATGAACAGAGCTGAGTGATCACGGAAGGAAACCTTTGAACTACATGCACAAGCAAGCCTTTCCTGATTTTAAATCGATTCTCTCAGGCATCTTGTCATAATGGTGATAATATGACTAATATGTTTGCCATCCTACACAGAAATACATTTTCTCCTTCCAATATCGAACAGTGCTTACGATGAGACAATAGTCACATGCTACTTGACCACCAGAATTTACTTGACCACTGTAATTCACCTTTTCTACAAATCAGTGGAATCTACAGCTCCTTGGGAGGAATTAGGGCAATTTCATTGACAGGCAATTACAGAAGAAGCAGGAAAGATGTGCTCTGGGCACTTGTTTCCATTTTTCCTGATCAGGAGGACAGGTTTGTGGTGTGCATCTCTCTCTCTCTTTCTCTCTCTTCCTATCCTTCCATCCTTCCCTCCATCTCTCCCTCCCTCCCTCCTTCTTTCCTTTCTTCCCTATTCCCTCATTATATTTTGGAGATGGGGTGAGCAGAGGTCAACCTTAGGTTTTGCTCCTTAGATGCAGTCCATATTGGTTTGTTTGTTTATCTTTTGTTTTGTTTTGTTGTTTTGAGACAGGGTCTCTGTGATGGATAGATTTAATGTCAACTTGATTCAAAAGTGTTGACATACCTATGGGCATTCTATTGGCTGATGATTTATGTGGAGAGCCCAGACCATCATGGGTAATGCTACCCTGGGAAGGTGGGAAAAAACCAGGAAACAGGATTACTCTATGGCTTTCTCTTCAGTTCTCACCTTTAGATTCCTGTCCTGAGTTTCCTCCCTGACTTTCCTAGATGTCCTGTCCTGAGTTTCCTCCTCTAGACTTTCCTAGACTATGAACTGTACAATAAAATAAACCTGGTCCTTTCAAAGTTTCTTTTAGTCCTTATATGTTATTATATCAAGAGAAACCACAACTAACACAGTTTTTCACTGGCCTGGAAGTAGCTGGGCAGCAAGCTTCTGGGATTCCCTTGTCTCTGCCTCCCCGAAGGTAGGATAACAAATGTGTGCCATCATGACTGGCTTTTACTTGGGTCTGGGATTTGAAACTCAAGCCCTCATTCTTGCGTAGCAGGTGCTATACCAACTAAGCCTGTCTGTCCAACCTCTGATATTTAATACTTTTAGCCAGAAAATCATGTCCATTGGTTAAGCCACAAAGTATTATAATTGACTTCATTTAAACATAAATATTGAAAAACACCAAACTTGTTATTATATACAGAAAGATCAGAATTCTAGAAAAAGAGGTATATAATTATTTGAATAGGAAGCTCATGAAAATCAATACTGTGAACTTTAAATAGTTTTATATTGTACTCTGATCTATAGTGTGTGGACAGAATTATGTCAGCATTTACAGCCTTGTCCACCCACAATTGAGCTAAAAGCTGCCCCAAATGAGATGACACTGGAGATTCTTAAAAAAACACTTCAAATAATCATAACTGTGACAATAATTTTATTACATGTCATTTTTAGTTGATACTTTGAATATATTATGGTGTACATGTATTGTAGATATTATGCTAATCATTGTATATAGTATTTGGTTGTATTACTGAAGGAGCTTGTGAGGGTTATATTTTATCATACTCATCTTATGGGCAAGGACAGTCAAGCTCAGAAGAAAGCAACCAGCTGACCAGGTTTTCTTCAGATATGGAATTTTTAGTGGTGATCCCTGAAATGTTCCGGACATGCTGAAAGGAGCTGGTTACCCTGTAAGAGTAACTCATTTGATTTATGAGGATTAAAGGCAGATGTAAACCCCAGAGTTCGCTACTTACTTGGTTCTCTGATTTCTTTATTTATTTGGTTGTCCTATCTATCACATCTATCACCAGTCCAGCTCAAGAACAATTTAGACATTCTTTGCATGGGAGGAGGGATCAAGGGTGAAGTAAGATGAAATAATTTTACACAGACTAATTGAAGATATCATCTGATAAACACCTTCAGCAAAGAGGTAGGATACAAAATTGTTATGTAAATATCAGTAGCCTTCATACATTGCAAAGACAAGCATATTGGGAAAAAAAAACAGTAAAATAATCCTATTCACAGTAACCACAAGGTAAACAAAATATCCAGGAATAAACCTAGCCAAGGAAATGATAAACCTTTACAATGAAAACTTTAAGACACTGAGGAAAGAAACCGAAGAAGACACTAGAAGATGGTAAGCCATCCTCCTCCCTACTGTGCTCCTGGACTGGAAGAATCAGTATAATGAAAATGGCTCTCCTACCAAAGGCAATCTGCATGTCCAAAGTAATCCCAGTCAAGATCCCAGGGACATTCTAAACAGACAGTCGTAAGTTTTATATGAAAACACAGATGACCCAGAATAGCTAAAACAATCCTGAACAAAAAAACACTTGGTGGGTATCTGTATACCTAATTTCAAATTATATTATGGAGTCATAGCAAGGAAACTCGCACTATTCTGGCACAAAAATAGATGTTTAGATCAATGATATAAAATAGTGTACCTAGGAATGAGTCTATACAACAGTAGCTACCTGATTTTTGACAAAGAATCTAAAAATATACATTGGAGAAGATAGGATCTTCAACAAATAGTTCTGGGAAACCTGGGCATTGACACTTAAAAGAATGAAACTTGATCTTTATATCTTACCCTGCAAAAATCTTAACTACAAATGAATCAAATTCTTTGGTTAAACAACTGATGCCCTGAAAATTCTAGGGGAAACAGTAGGAGATGAACTTTAATATGTGTGTATAGTTAAGAATTTCTGAATATAACTCTTGTAGCATAGGCAAAAAACTGAACAATTGATAAATGGGATCTCATTAAACTAAAAAGCTTCTGAACAGCAAAGGAAACTGTTAAGTGAAGACACAATTCATAGAAGAAACTATTTGCCAGTTATACATATAATAAAGAATTAATAACTAGAATATGCCAGGGGAAAACAAACCTCTATGAAATAAACAGCCTAACTTGAAAAAGAATATGAAAATAAATAGTTCTCAAAATAAATTACAAAATTTGGAAAACATTCAAAAAGTGTTCAAAACCCTTTGCCACCACTGGACTGTAGACTAAAACTACTTTAAGATTCCATCTCATCTCAGTCAAAATGAAAGGCCATCAGTGCTGATACAAATGATGGAATTTGATGGAAACAGAAAGGAACCATTATACACTGCTGTAATCTAGTGCATCCACTTTGGAAATCACTCTACAGGTTCCTCAGAACACTAGAACTAGATCTACCATGTGACTCAGGCATAACTCTTAGACATATTATGCTCAAAGGACTTTATACTCTCCTTCAGAGACACCTATATATCCGTATTCATTGCAGCGTTATTCACAATAGCTGGAAATAGAAACATTCTCCATATCTATCAACTAACGAATGAATATTGAAAATGTGGTACATATATACAACGGAATCTTAACAGCTATAAAAAATTCAATTATAAATTTTTTAGGAAAAAGTGTACTGAGCGCAGTAACCCAGGCTCAGAAAGAAAAATGCACCGTTTTCTTATATATGCAGATTCTAGTCCACAAACGACTGAGCAAATGAAGCTGAGTCTCCCTTTATAACATTTCCAAAGTGCCTAAAGGCTACCGGAAAGTGACATTCAGAGCAGAACCCTCTCACCTGGGGAAGTGGGTAGAGATGACACCGTGATTGGACAGCATCCTGCTTGCACAATTTCAGAGCATGGCACACCACATCAGCATTCATAGCTTCACTGAGTCTGACAGGAAATGGAGCAAAGCAAAAGCTATTTAAGATCTCTCAGGTGTTAGGAAGTAGAAGCTCTATCAAACAGTTAAATCCCCAGGACAAATTCTGATGCTCTCACAGCCTGGCCTTAGAGATTTGCCGGGCAGGTACAGCTACTGGATTGTAGTTTCCTGCAATACTTATCTCTCCTGCCTCTTGCATTAGGTCTTGAGGACAGGATAGGACATTCAATCCCTGAGCTATGAGTGAGCCTCTCAGAACACCCCAGTGTTTTCAGAAAAAGCATAAAAACAACTGGGAAAAAAAAGAGGAAAGAGTATGATTAGGTGAGAACAATATTTAAAGGTTATAGGACCTAATAGCAAAACGACTTTACTATATATAGTTGTAGACACTTAAAATTATTTTCTTAGATACAAGCCAAACCACATCTGCCCCTTTAAATCAAATGTATCTCTTAGTCTTGTGGAAGAAAAACAAGATTGCTGATTTATTTCTTTTCTGGAAGATGCTATAAGGACAATGATCTTCAAATACGGTGGTTGTGTCTGGATTCAAGGAGCTAAAACAAAGTGTGATGGTTCGTTGTCATGCTTATATGCTTAAAATTATCCAGGAGAAGCATCCTCCAAGAAGGCATTTGCAGACAGGTTGCACAGTGTGCTGTCTGATGGGCTAGTGCTCAAGAACCAAGATGGTTTTCAAAGAACCATCTCTAAGTAATGGTTTTTTTTTTTTTTGTTATTGTAGTCTCTTCTCCATTAATTTCTACCATGATATTGATTTTTTTTTCTATATAGTTCATTTGGGTTTGGTTTCTAATTTTTCTAGAGCCTTGAAGTATATAATTTGATTATTATTTTGAGATCTCTCTGATTTTTAAGAAATATAAACATTTAGACCCACAGACTCTTGTATATATCCCAGAGGTTCTGGTAGGCTGTACTTTCATTTTCATTTAAATTAGAAATTAAAAAACATCCTTAGTGATTTTCTTCCATGGCATATGTTCATTTAAAACTATATTGTTCAATCCCTAGGTATTTGTGTATTGCCTGAGATTGGAAATGCCATTGCTTTCCAGTTTTATTCCACTTTAGTTTTGTAAGGTGCTGCTAATTATTTAAATTATTATGTGTAGCATAAGGCTTTGTGGATTCTATTGTGAGCAATTTTGGAGAGTCTATCTATTCCTGAGAAGAATGTTTATTTCCTAATTATTGTAAAGAATGTCTATTTTTCTACTTATTTCATGGCATGTTCTATAGATATCTATTTAATTTTGTTGATGTGTGGTATACTTTAGTTATAAGGTTTATTTTCTGGTTTGTTGTTCTTTTTGAGTCAGGGTTTCTCTGTGTAGCCTTGGTTGTCCTGGACTCCTTTCTAGACCAGGCAGGTTTTGAACTCACAGAGATCCTTGAACTCACAGAAATCAACCTGCCTCTGGCTCCTTGAGTGCTGAGATTAAAGGTGTGTGCTACCACACCCAGAATTATTTTCTGATTTTTAATTTTGAAGACATATCTAGATGTCAGAGTGAGATATTTGAAGCCTTCAGTTATTACTGTGTTGAGACATATGTGTATGACTTTTAGTGTTCAATTAAAAATGAGCCCCCATGTGCACATTATATTTATAATAACTATATCATTTGGATGAATTGTTCCTTTCACTAACATGCAGTGTTCATCTTCTCATTTAACTAGTTTTGGTGTGCAGTCTACTCTATCAGACATGACAATCAGACCAGCTTCTATTTGCTTGGTAGGATGTTTTGTAACCTTTAACTCTCAGTGTTTGGATCTCCTACTTAGTATTGAGAGTTTCATGGATAAAAATATTGTATCCGGTCAGTCTGCACCTTTTATTTCATATGAAAGGCCATTTACGTTAAAGGTTATTATTAAATATTTGCTATTATTGGGTCAATGCATCACTCAGTCCTAATAAGAGAAACTTCCTGCAGTAGATGGAAATTAACCCTGAGACCTACAACCAGACAATGTGAAGACAATGAGAGACTTTGGAGCACTCAGTCCTAAATGGAATGTCTTTATTAAACCCCTCTTCTCAAGGCTCAGGGACCTATGCAGAAGAGAAGGCAGGAAGACTGTAAGATCAGGTGAAGTATGATGTCTGAGTGTAGGCACTCCTGGAAAGGCCTTTAACTAAGGTAGTGGGGGGGGGAAGCCTACCTCATTTTGAAGATTTTGTGTCACTACTGTTTAAAAAAAAATAACCTTTTTATTGATTCTTTGTGAACCCCAATACTCCTCATTTCCCCATCCCTTTGTATCTATCTACCTTCCATACCTGCAACCTCCAGCCCACCAAAAGAAGCAAAAATAAAATAGAATAATAATGAAAAAAAATCTTTAACACAGTTTACCCTTTTGTCCACACACCTTTACTTTTAAATGTTCATTGTAATAAGTCATTGGTCTGGTTCAAGGCCTCTGGCTTCTGCTACACAATCAATATTGGATCCTCACCAGGACTCCTCTTGGATATCTTATTGTTGCCCTATGATCTTGCAGCTTTAGATCTGCAGGACTGACCCTTTCTTTTGGGGGGAGGGGGAACTCAATGGTCTGGAACTGGGCCTGGGAGACAGCTGAGTGGTCAACAGCTGTTCTGCACCCAACACTCCCAGGTTGAGCTCTCCAGCACTGCTCTGGCTGGCTCATCAAATGCTCTAGCTGGCAAAGGGGCAGGGTCAGCTCTTCTGCTCTTAAGTGCTTGGGGCTGGCTCACCCATGCCTTCCCCATCATGGCCAGCTCTACTGTGCTACTGAATTGAGGGGCAGGGCCTGCTCTCCCACTCTCATAATCTCTGGGGCAGCTCTCTACCTGTCACATGCCATGAGGAATTAAGAAAAGACAGCATATCTCCCTCGTCCATGCCACCCTCCAGCAGATGAGGGGCAGGGACAGTTCTCCGGCTTTCATAACCTCAGGACCAACTCTCCTACCGGCCACAGGTGATGAGGGAGGGAGAAATTTCTTCCTCACATAAGCCACCCCATGGCAATTTAAGGGTGGGGCCAACTCTCTTGAGCTCATACCCTTGGTCCGGCCCACCCACACTTTCCATCAGGATCAGCTCTACTGTGTTGCCCAGGAAAAGGGTGGGCCCATCCCAGCACAGTGCCTCAGGCAGCAGTCCAGACCAGGGATGTCTGCATAGATTTTGGTGGCAACACTGGCCTGGGACAGCAACACAGACCTCAGCTGCCATAGGAGCATGGACCCAGACATGGTCTCCAGCAGCAGCATTGGCCTGGATGTCCCCATGGCTGCAGATGGCAGCACAGGCCACTTACATTAGCATGTTTCCCATAGGTGACAGGGCCCTCAGATATCCTTATGGTCTCTGGTGGCAGCCCAGACTATGGACATCTACTTGGCTTTTGGTGGTAACTTGGGCCACAGACATTGACAGACTTCATCTGCAGCAGGATCACAGACCCAGACATGGCCCTTGGTGGCAGCCGGGGCCAGGACTTCACCATGATCTCCTCATATCTGCCTGTTCCTCACTGCCTTCAAGTCTCCAGGTCTACCTTACTCCACAATGTTATGAACCCCTTCCTCATATTCTTTTCCATCTCTGTACTGGTTACTCCATTTCCCCCATCTCTCCATCACACATTCATTCATCATAGTGGTGCCTGCAGCAGGTTCTTAATTGTTTTTCTTCTGTGGCAGGTGCTTGGGTGTCTTTCTTCTGGCTACCCAAGGTCAGTGTGGCCAGGGCAAATGCTTTGGTGTTTTTCTTCAGGCAGCCCAACCAACATGATCAGGGTAGGTGCTTGGGTATCTTTCTTCTGGCCTCCCCACTTCTCTCTTTTATGAGTATTTATTGTGAACTTTTGATTGTTCACGTTTTAAGAAAAATGCTTGTTTTTGTTACAGAGATGAGGTAAACATGGTCCTTCACTTTCACAAATTGTGCAATTGGATTTCCCACACTTGAGGAAGTCTCAGGGCTGAGCACATCCACATTGCAGGTGGCGAGGCTCGCCCTGGAAAATCACCTTCACGATCACGGTCTCTCTCTTCCTGGGAAATATTGTGGGTATTTTCTTTTCTCACTGGGTAACTCCAGTTGATGTGGAATGTGATATGTAGACCAGGCTACCCTTGAACTCACAGAGCAAGTTTTCCTTGTCCTGTAGGAGCTGGGACTACAGGTGTGAGCCACTATACCTGGTTTGAATCTAATCAATTCTGTAATTACTTTGTGAAGAACATAGTTAAAATGCTTTGTATTTGTATGTCAACAAAGGTCATTATGTCTACACCATACCATAACTGTTATAATTACTGTTTCTCAGGTTTCTTATTAAAATGTTGTTATTTCATGATTAATGAAAGGTACTGGACTTGGGAGAGAGGGCTTTGTGACTGTACAGAGAAGCAAGAGGAGACGAAGAGGGAGGGCCCACAGCTAGATTTTCTGAAGCAACATCACGAACAGTGGAGGCCAGGATCAGATAGGGGAATCTGCTCTTGAATACTTCCTAGTATTTCAACCTAGGTAGCCTCTTCCTGTATGTCACGGCCTTAATATTTGTTTCCCAAACCTCCAAACTTGTATGTTAACATCTAATCATGATGCATATTGAGAAATAGGACATTTGGGGGGGGTGTCTCAGCTTATAAACAGGTTCAGTGCCCCTTTAGATAGAGGGAGGGCCCAAGGAACTTGTTTGTTCATTTTGTCTCATGAGTTTACAGAAAAAGGCAATTTCTACGAAGCAAAGAGGAAACTCTATCAGGCATCTAATCTGCTGGTACCTTGATTTTATACTCCAAGTCTCCAGATCTCCAGATGTGATATAATTTTATGTTATTTAAAAAAATTTCTAGTGTCAGGAATTTTAAAAATAAGACATCAAACAGATCAAGATCCTGCATGGCAAGTTTTGGAGGGAATGTCTTATTTCTCAGGTTCCTTCTTTCTTTACAGAATCCTGTGGCTATATCTGTGGGTAGAGAATGTAATTGCTACATAATTAGTCCATGAATTATTGAGACCTGACTAGTACGAGATAATAGAAAGAATGCCCTCCAGGTCAGAACACACATTTAATACTGGAAGGCAGCTATTCAGGTAAAATTAAATCATGAGGTTGTCATTTTCAGGGACTGAATCAACTCAAGTTGTTTTTTCTGACTATCGAAAACAAGGTGCGAGAGGCTGATGCTTGTAAGGAGAGATCCCTATCAGCAGAGAGCTGACAGAGTGCTGGCAGTGAAAGGATGCTGTTGCTGACAGAGTGGTCGTCCTGACAGGGTGTTGGCATGGATAGGGCCCTGGAGCTGACAAGGTGCTAGGCTTCTGCGGGCAAACAAGCGGTGGACAAAACCATTTACTCATCTGTCTTTCTTCAAAGTAGTCTATGCTCCATCCATCTCTGATTCCTTCCCTTCCTCCACCACATTTCCATCCTTCCTTTGACATATCTTTGAGTTTTCTGAATCCCTGGAAATATACACAGAGCGAATAAAATGTAGTCCCAGGAGTTTGAAAGCTGTTAAATTGGTGGGGATTCAGAGAAGTCGAGTGGTAAAGTGTAAGCACCTGTCCTAGGTGCTGCTCTAGAGGTTTGCACAGCATGTTGTTTGTGCACGTGTGAATGCTTCTGTGCGTGCATGTGTGCCAATGTGCTTGTGTGTGGTAGGAGTCAAATGTCCATGTTAGCATGGAGAGGATTAGAGAAGCTTTCAGAAGAGGTGACCAGGAGTTGGAGTCTAAAGAAGTAAGGTGATGTATCTGGTATAGATTTTAGGTGTATCAAACACATGTAACAACTGTAAAAATCTTTAGGCAAACCCCGCTTGCAGTGTGACCAAATCATCATGGAATGTGGTGTGCTGTGAGGTAGCAAGGGATGAGTTTAGAAGGGCTTTCAGGACCAGTTCATGAAGAATTTTGTATTAGGTACCAGGAATCACTGGAGGGCATCACTGCATTTCTATTCCCACTTACCAGTGTGGCCACATTGGACAAACCTCCCTTTCTACTTTTTACTGTTAATTTGGTCATTTAATGGGCTTTTTGAGGATGGATGTCCTGGACTGGTGACTGCACCTGGCATCCTGCAGTGTAGACTATGACCTCAAGTTGGGTGACATGGACCACTGTTGAGGGAGCACCATGAATATGAACTTATCCTATCCAGTGCCTCAAAGACTGATCAAAGCAGAAGGAAAAGAATGAGAAAGAAAACGAGTAAACAGATAGTGATGACACAGAGGGGCTAGACCATAATATGCTAAGAACCCTGAAGCACAGAGGGCTGGAATCCACAGCGAGAGAGCAGGGTCAGAACTAGTAGCTTAGAGATAATGTTGGGTTATTTGTTGTTGGAATTGTCTGTAAATCTCACATGGAAAGTGCTTGCAAAGACACAAACCCAGATTTTCATGCGGTAGTTCTAGAAACTACAGTTTCTACCAGAATGACAACATCAGTCTAGAGTCAATTTCCTTCTGTTAATGGTAACAAAGAGATCAGGGCCAGCCCTTCTCAGTAAGTACCATAGGCAGTACATGCTGCCCTCTGCTCTGTGCCAGCAACTGTGACAGAATGCAATACCATACTCACAATTTTATGATGTCTGCTCCAAACATCTGAACCAGGAAATAGCAGGAGGTTTTCAAAAACATCGCTTCTAAGAAAAAAAAAGTGAATAGAATACATTTTATTATCATAGTTTAGGGCATGGATCAGTGTTTGTCTGAAGGAGAACTAAGACTGAATTAAGACTGAATAGTTAATTAATGACTAAGCATTAGTTTTAAGGGTTTAGTAATTTTAAAGTTACCATGGTTAATAAAAGATCACTTCTAGGTGTTGGAGCAATGGCTCCAGAAAACTTGGGTTGAATTCCCAGAATCCACATATTGACTCACAACCATCTATAGTTCCAGACCCAGGGCCTCAGATGCCCATTTCTGGACTCCTCTAGCACCAGGAATACAAGCGGTACACAGACATACATGCAGGCAAAATGCTCATACCTACAAAAATAATCTTTTCCATACAAGATTTGTATGAGTACTGTTTTACTGCAAATATTTGAAGATCACTAGTTTGTTATAAAATTACAGATTTTATTTTCTTTTTTTAAAGTAAGGAATATCAGAATGTTGACTAGGATCTCTTTTGTTGAATGACAAACATATCGAAAAAGAAACAGAAAAAGTACCTTCTACAATAGCCTCAGAAAATAAAATATCTTGAGATAACTCTAGCCATGCAAGAGGGTGAATACAAAACTTGTATAATAAAAACTTGAAGTCACTAAAGAAAGAAACGGAAGGCTACACCAGAAAATGAATAGATCTCCCTAGCTTGAGATCAGTAGGATCAATATTATGAAAATGGCCATCCTACCAAAACCAATCTACAAATTCAATACAATCCTCATAAAAAAATTTCAATGCAATTCTACACAGAAATTGAAAAAAAAAAAAAGCTTCAACTTCATATGGAAGCACAAAAAGCCAAAGGATGGCTAAAACACTCTGACAAAAGACCTGCCGAAGTTATCACCACCCACAATTCCAAGTCATACTACAGAGCTACAGTAATAAATACAGCATGGTCTTGACATTAAAACAGCAGTCCTGTTAGGCCACAGAGGAGAGCTTTGCAGCCAGGCCTGAAGATACCTGATAAAACAAGATCAGATGAATGGAGAGGAGGTCCCCCCTATCAGTTGACTTGGAAAGGGGCACAGTGGAGATGAGGGAGGGAAGGAGGACCTGGGAGAGAATGAGGGATCGGGACACGGCTGGGATACAGAGTTAATAAAATGTAACTGATAAGAAAAAAATAAAATTCAAAAAAAAAAAAAAAAGAAACATTTTTTTGGTTCTTTTGCTCTCCTTGTGGAGCTCCTGTCCCCTACAGGTCTTTCTGTCTTCCCCTTCTTTCCTAAGATTCCCTGTACTCTGCCCAACGTTTGGCTATGAGTTTCAGCATCTGCTTCTATACCCTGCTGGATAAAGTTTTTCAGGGGCCCTCTGTGGTAGGCTCCTGTCCTGTTCCCTATTTTTCTCTCATCTGATGTCTATCCCATTTGTCTTTTTGAATGAAGATTGAGCATCTTATCCAGGGTCCTCCTTCTTCTTAGCTTCTTTAGGTGTACAGATTTTAGTATGTTTATCCTATATTATATATCTAATATCCACTTAAAAGTGAGTATATACCCCAAAAATCTGGGTCCAGGGGTCTTTTCTGAGATGATACTCCAACCAAGGACCATTCATGGAGATAACCTAGAACCCCTGCACAGATGTAGCCCGTGGTAGCTCAGTCTCCAAGTGGGATCCTCAGTAAAGGGAACAGGGGATGTCTCTGACATGAACTAAATGGCTGGCTCTTGATCACCTCCCCTTGAGTAGGAGCAGCCTTACCAGACCATAGAGGAAGACAATGCAGCCAGTCCTGATGAGACCTGATAGGCCAAGTTCAGATGGAAGGGGAGGAAAACCTCCCCTATCACTGGACTGGGGGAGAGGCATGGGAAGAAAAGAGGGAGGGAGGGAAGGATTGGGAGGGCATGAGGGAGGGGTTACAGCTGGAATGCAAAGTGAATAAACTGAAATAAATAATAAATAAATAAAAATAAAAAACCCAGACACATTGATCAATGGAACTGAATTGAAGACCAAGATGTAATTCCACATACCATGAACACCTGAGTTTTGACAAGTGGAAAAAAAATCACATTGATGAAAAGATACCATTGTCAAAAAGTGACGCTGATGATACTGTAGCTGCATGCAGAAAAATGCAAATAGATATATTTGCATCACTTTCCATAAAAATCAGTCCCAAGAGATCCAAGATGGTGGTGACAAACACACACTATGTCTGATAAGCAGGACAGCAGTGACTGCACAGAAACCAACAGACAGAACTGTGGTCCCCAAAACACCAATGTCTGTGTTTCACAGGTGAGAGGAAACCCCATGGTAAAGGAAACAAGAGCCTTGCCCAGCCAATCCCAGGAATAGTTCGGTCTCAGCATATAGCCATTCCCCTGTGAGCTGCTCTCACTGACCTGTGAATACCTTCTGGGTACCAGGGCAGGCAGCTCCAACATCAGGCCTCCTGATGACCAGGAGCCATGGGAACAGCCCCAGACACCACTCCAAAGCTCAACCCATCTCCCTAGGGAGACAGAACAGAGAACTCTGGGCTTGCTAGTTCTCCAAGATGGCTGTGCCCAGCAAGTACAGTGTCTGAGCACAATGTCTGGACAGCTGCAGTTCATTAACTTCAGAGCAAGAAAGCCAGTGGTTGAACAGCTGCCACTGGGATTTTCCCTGGTGAGAGGAGAGGCCCTGGGCTCTTGCGGACTCCAGTACACAAGATCATACAAATGAAGAGAGCTGCAAGCTCTCATATTGAGGCCTTTGGAGAGGCCTGTAGAGAGGAAATGAATAAATTACTCAAAGAAATACAGGAAAACACAAACAAACAAATGAAGGAAATCAATAAAATAGTTCAAGATCTGAAAATGGAAATGGAAACAGTAAAGAAAGCAGAAACTGAGGAAATTCTGGAAAGAGAAAACTTAGAGAAGAAAACAGAAACTACAGAGATAAGCATTGCCAACAGAATACATGAGATGGAGGAAACAATTTCTTGTGTAGAAGATACACTGGAAGAAATCCATGCATCCATCAAAGAAAATGTTAAATAAAAAAAAATTCCTGACACAAAACATCCAAGCACATAAGGACACCATGAAAATATAAAAATCTAAGAATAATAGGAATAGAGGCAGAGAGAAGGTTCCTGGTTCCAAGGCCCAGAAAGCATTTTCAACAAAATCATTGAAGAAAAGTTTTCTAATCTAAAGAAAGAGATGCCTATAAGCATATAAGAGGCCTACAGAGCACCAAATAGATTAGACCAGAAAAGAAAATCCTCCGGCTACATAATAATCAAAGCACTAAATGTACAGAATAAAGAAAAAACTATTAAAAGCTATAAAGGAAAAAAAAAAAACAAGTAACCTATAATGACAAACCTATCAGAATCACATCTGACTTTTCAGCAGAGACCATAAAAGCCAGAAGGGCCTGAGCAGACATCTTGCAAACCTTAAGAGACCACAGATGCGAAGCCTCACTACTATATCACTATACACAGGAAAAATTTTAATCATCATAAATGGAAAAAATATTTCATAACAGAAAAACCCAGCCCTAAAGAATATATGAGAAGAAAATCTCCCACCCAGAGAGGTAAACTACCCCCCAAAAGACCACAGGCTATAAATAACTTCACTAAAGCAAACAAAAAAAAATAGACAAGCACATAAAAACACTACCACAACCAACACCAAAATAAAAGGATCAAATAGTCCCTTCTCATTAATCTCTCTGAACATCAATGCACTGAACTCTCCAATAAAAAGACATAGACTAACAGAATAGATGTGTAACGAAGACCCAACATGCTGCTGCATACAAGAAACACACCTCAGCCACAAAGATAGACATTACCTGAGAGTAAAGGGCTGGAAGAAGGTTTTTTCAAGCAAATGGACCTAAGAAGCAAGCTGAAATAGACATTCTATTATCTAATAAAAAAGACTTTTAACCAAACTAATCAAAATATATGAGGAAGGATACTTCATACTCATCAAAAGAAAGCTCCACCAAGATGACATCTCAATTCTGAATATCTATGCCCCAAATACAAGGGCACCCGCATTCGTAAAAGAAACATTAATAAAGCTTAAACCATACATCATTCCCCTCACATTAATAGTGGGAGACTTCAACACCCCACTCTTACCAGTGGACAGATCAACCAAACAGAAACAAACCTGAGAAGTAATGACACTAACAGATGTCATGAATCAGATGGACCTAACAGACATCTATAGAACTTTTCACTCAAACACAAAAGAATATACCTTCTTCTCAGCACCTCACAGGACCTTCTCCAAAACTGACTATATAATCAGCCACAAAGTAAGCCTCAATAGGTACAAGAAGATTGAAATAATCACTTGTATACTATCAGCTTGCCATGGAATAAAGCTGGGCCTCAACAACAACAGAAAACATTGACACTGACCAGCTCTCTACTTAACAACAACTGGGTCAGAGAAGAAATAAAGAAATTGAGGACTTCCTAAAATTCAGTGAAAATGAAGACACGACACATCCAAACTTATGGGCACAATGAAAACAGTGATGAGAGGAAGGTTCATTAACTATTTGAGGCATCTATACAATCAACAAGAGCAATAAAAGACTTAATGAAACCAAGAGCTGCTTCTCTGACAAAATCAGCAAGATAGACAAACCCTTAGCAAAAATAACTGAAAGGCAGAGAGAGAATATACCCAAATCAACAAAATCAGAAATGAAAAGGGGGACATAACTACAGACACTGATGTAAAACTCACAGCTCCTGCTCCTGTGCAGTTCCTCTCCCTGAGCTAAACCTCTGAAGCTGTAAGCAAAGCCCAATTAAATGCAATGTCTTGGTCTCTTCATAGCAATGGATAAATAACTAAGGCACTGGTGTAATGAAGATGCTCTGAAACCGTGGTGATGGATTATGACTATGAACATATAGAAAGCCACTGTGGTTACATTTTTAATCAATGACTTGAAATACAAGTGAATTTTATCTCAA